CCTTGTTGAATTCCCACCCCTTTGCTGAATTCCCTCTTCCTTGCTGAATCATCCCCACCTTGCTTAATCACCCCTAAATTGCTCTATTACCCCTTTCTCGTTGAATCTCCCCTATCTTGCTGAGTTCTCTTTATCTTGCTGAATCCCCCCTCCCATTCTAAATCACCCGTGCCTTTTTAAGTCATCCCTGCCTTGCTGAATTCCCTCTCCTAACTTTCTGAGTCATCCCTTTCTTTCGTAATCACCCCTTCCTTGCTTACTCACCCCTACCTTGCTTAATCTCCCCTTCCTTGTTTAATCACCCATGCCTTGCTTAATCACCCCTGCCTTGCTTCATCACCCCTACCTTTCTTCATCATCCATACCTCGCTTAGTCCCCCTCCCTTGCTGAATTCCCACTACCTTGCTGAATCCCACCTTCCTTGCACAATCACTCCTACCTACTCCCTATCTTGCTGAATTCCCACCCTTTTGCTAAACTCCCTACCTTTAGCTGAATTCCCTCTACCTTGTTTTGTCACCCGTACCTTGATTAATCATCCCTACGATGCTTAATCATCCCTACCTTGTTTAATTCCCCCTATCTTGCTGAATCCCCCCTACCTTGTTGAATTCTCGCTAACTTGCTGAATCCCCCTTCCTTGCATAATCATCCCTACTTTGCTGAATTCCCGCTTCCTTGCTTAATCACCCTACCTTGATCAATCACCCCTTCCTTGCTGAATCACTGATACATTGCTTTATCCCCCCTACCTTGCGAATTCTCGCCTACCTTGCTGAGCCCCCCTTCCTTGCTTAATCACCCCTACCATGCTGAATTTATACTTCCTTGCTGAATTCCCCTTACCTTGTTAAAACACTCCTACCTTGATTAATCACCCCAGCCTTGACTTATCACCCCTACATGGCTTAATCATCCTTACCTCGTTGAATTCACCCTATCTTGCTGAATCCTCCCTAGCTTGCTGAATTCTCCTATCTTGCTGAGTCCCCACTACCTTGCTCTATCACCCCTACCTTGCTCAATTCCCCTGATATTGGTTAGTAACCCCTACATTGCTGAATCCCCCCTTCCTTGCTGAATCACCCCTAACTTACTTGATATCCCCTAAATTGCTTACTTCCCCATATCTTGCCGAATCCCCTCTACCTTGCTGAATTCTCCCTATCTTGCTGATTTTCCCCCTACCTTGTTTAATCACCCCTACCTTGCAGAGTACTCACTACATTGTTTAATCACCTCTACCTTGCTTAAGCACCCCTACCTTGTTGAATCACCTCTACTTTGCTGAATCACCACTGCCTTGCTTAATCACCCCTACCCTTATTAATCACCCCTTCGTTGCCAAATCACCCCAAAATGGTTGAGTTCCCCCTATCTTGCTGAAGTCACCCTACGTTGCTGAATCGCCCCTAGCTTGCTTAATCACACCTACCTTGCTTAATCACCCCTACCTTGCTGAATTCCTACTACCTTGCTGAATTCCCTTTACCTTGTTTTAACACTCCTACCTTGTTTAATCACCCCTACCTTGATTTATCACCTCTAAGTTGCTTAATCATCCCTGCCTTGCTGAATTCCCCCTATCTTGCTGAATCCCCTCTACCTTGCTAAATTCTCCCAATATTGCTGAATCCCCCCTACCGTGCTTAAGAACCCCTGCCTTGCAAAATCCCCCCCTCCTTGCTTAATCAACCCTACCTTGCTGAATCCCCCCTTCCTTGTTGAATCAATCCTACCTTGCTGAATCCCCCCTACCTTGCTGAATCCCCCCCACCTTGATTAATCACCACTACCGTGCTGAATTCCCACCCCCTTGCTGAATTCCCTCTTCCTTGCTTAATCACCCCTACCAAGATTAATCACTTGCTTAGTCACGGCTACATTGCTGAATCCCTCCTAAATTGCTCAATCCCGCCTACCTTGTTGAACCCCCCCTTCCTTGCTGAATCATCCCTACCTTGCTTAGTCATCCCAAAATTGCTCTATTCCCCCTTTCTCGTTGAATCTCCCCTATCTTGCTGAGTTCTCTTTATCTTGCTGAATCCCCCCTCCCATTCTAAATCACCCCTACCTTTTTAAATCATCCCTGCCTTGCTGAATTCCCTCTATGTTGCTTAATCAATCCTACCTTGCTTAAGCACCCCTACCTTGCTTTTTCCGACTACCTTGCTGAATTTCCCCTACCTTGCCTGATGACCCCTACCTTGACTTATCATCCCTACATTGATTAATTACCTGAAAATGAGAGAATTCCCTATATCTTGCTGAATCACCCCTACCATGCTTAATCACCACTACCTTGCTGAATCCCCCTTCCTTGCTTAATCACACGTACCTTGCACAATCACCCCTTCCCTTACATATCACCCGTTCCTCGCTTAATAAACCCTACCATTATTGAATCCCCCCTTCCTTGTTGAATCAACCCTACCTTGCTGAATCCCTTCTAGCTTGCTGAATTCTCCCTCTCTTGCTGAATCGCCCCTACCTTGCTTAATCACCCCTACCTTGCTGTAATCTCCCTAACTTGCTGAGTCATCCCTTTCTTTCTTAATCACCCCTTTCTTGCTTAATCACCTCTTCCTTGCTGAATCACCCCTACCTTGTTTAATCACCCTTGCCTTGCTTAATCACCCCTGCCTTGCTTAATCACCCCTACCTTGCTTCATCACCCATACCTTGCTTAATCCCCCTTCTCTTGCTTAATTCCCCCTACCTTGCTGAATCCCACCTTCCTTGCACAATCACCTCTACTTACTCCCTATCTTGCTGAATTCCCACCCTTTTTCTGAATTCCCTACCTTTAACTGAACCCTCTACCTTGCTTAGTCACCCCTACCTTGATTAATCATCCCTTCGATGCTTAATCATCCCTACCTTGTTTAATTCCCCCTGTCTTGCTGAATCCCCCCTACCTTGTTGAATTCTCGCTAACTTGCTGAATCCCCCCTTCCTTGCTTAATCACCCCTCCTTTGCTGAATTCCCTCTTCCTTGCTTAATCACCCCTACCTTGATCAATCACCCCTACCTCGTGAATCACTGATACATTGCTTAATCCCCCCTACCTTGCGAAATCTCGCCTACCTTGCTGAGCCCCCCCTTCCTTGCTTAATCACCCTTACCATGCTGAATTTATACTTCCTTGCTGAATTCCCCTTACCTTGTTAAAACACTCCTACCTTGATTAACCACCTCAGCATTGACTTATCACCCTTACATGGCTTAATCATCCCTACCTCATTGAATTCCCCCTATCTTGCTGAATCCCCCCTAGCTTGCTGAATTCTCCTATCTTGCTGAGTCCCCACTACCATGATCAATCACCCCTACCTTCCTGAATTCCCCCGATCTTGGTTAATAACCCCTACATTGCTGAGTCCCCTATTCCTTGCTGAATCACCCCTAAATTGCTTGATATCCCCTAAATTGCTTAATTCCCCATATCTTGCCGAGTCCCCACTACCTTGCTGAATTCTCCCTATCTTGCTGAATTCCTACCTACCTTGTTTAATCACCCCTACCTTGCAGAGTACTCACTACATTATTTAATCACCTCTACCTTGCTTAAGCACCCCTACCTTGTTGAATCACCTCTACTTTGCTGAATCACCTCTGCCTTGCTTAATCACCCCTACCCTTATTAATCACCCCTTCGTTACCTAATCACCCCAAAATTGTTGAATTTCCCCCTATCTTGCTGAAGTCACCCTACGTTGCTGAATCACCCCTAGCTTGCTAAATCACACCTACCTTGCATAATCATCCATACCTTGCTGAATTCCCACTACCTTGCTGACTTCTCTTTACCTTGTTTAAACACTCCTACCTTGTTTAATCACCCCTACCTTGATTTATCACCTCTAAGTTGCTTAATCATTCCTGCCTTGATGAATTCCCCCTATCTTGCTGAATCCCCCTACCTTGCTAAATTCTCCCAATATTGCTGAATCCATCCTACCCAATATTGTGCACCGGTCGAAAAGCGCACCGGTCGAAAAGCGCACCGGTCGATAAGGGCACCGGTCGAAAAGGGCACCGGTCGAAAAGGGCACCGGTCGAAAAGGGCACCGGTCGAAAAGGGCACCGGTCGAAAAGGGCACCGGTCAAAAAGGGCACCGGTCCAAAAGGGCACCGGTCGAAAAGCGCACCGGTCGAAAAGCGCACCGGTCGAAAAGCGCACCGGTCGAAAAGCGCACCGGTCGAAAAGCGCACCGGTCGAAAAGCGCACCGGTCGAAAAGCGCGCCGGTCCAAAAGCGCACCGGTCCAAAAGCGCACCGGTCGAAAAGCGCACCGGTCGAAAAGGGCACCGGTCGAAAAAGGGCACCGGTCGAAAAGGGCACCGGTCGAAAAGCGCACCGGTCGAAAAGCGCACCGGTCGAAAAGCGCACCGGTCAAAAAGCGCACCGGTCGAAAAGCGCACCGGTCGAAAAGCGCACCGGTCGAAAAGCGCACCGGTCGAAATGTGCACCGGTCGAAAAGCGCACCGGTCGAAAAGGGCACCGGTCGAAAAGGGCACCGGTCGAAAAGGGCACCGGTCGAAAAGGGCACCGGTCGAAAATTGCACCGGTCGAAAAGGGCACCGGTCGAAAAGAGCACCGGTCGAAAGGCGCACCGGTCGAGAAGGGCACGGGTCGAGAAGCGCACTGGTCTTAAAGCGCACCGGTTGAAACGCGCACGGGTCGAAAAGCGCACTCGTCGAAAAGCGCACCGGTTTTAGACCAGGTGGTGGTGGGAGTTTAGACACAAGGGATGAATCCCTTCATTTCGACCGGTGCGCTTTTTGACACAAGGGATGAATCCCTTCATTTCGACCGGTGCGCTTTTCGACACAAGGGATGAATCCATTACTCAAGGGACTCTTCACACACAAGTACACCATCGACCCCGAAATTCCCTTGGTAGAAAAGCGACATCTGCTACAGTGGGAGAGTGACATCGCGTACCGGAAAGGATCAACGAAAATCTGGGTACCCAATTACCCTCCTTTGCGCTAGTTACTACTTGAAGAATACCACGATGTCCTATACGCAAGACACTTCGGTAGCAACAAGATGCTGACCGGTATCGCAAAGCACTACTACTGGCCCTACTTGGCAGAAGATGTTCAGAAATTCGTCACCTCATATGATACATGTCAACGAATGAAGAGCAGCAAGCAGAAGAAGGCGGGACTTCTACTGCCTCTTCCTGTCCCAGAACAACCATGGCAAGTGGTCAGCCTGGATTTCATCACCGGGTTACCACCTACCACTACCGGTCATGACGCAATCCTTGTCGTCATCGACAAGTTCTCCAAAATGGGACACTTCATCCCGATACACACGACAGCGCGTACCGAAGAAACAGCACAACTCTTCATTCGTTACATCATCTCACAACATGGCATTCCAACCACACTCATCTCCGACCGAGACCCCAAGTTCACCAGCAAGTTTTGGAAGGAACTAATGTCTCTGCTCAGGACCAAACTCGCCATGTCCTCCGCTTACCATCCGCAGACAGACGGACAGACCGAGCGCCTCAACCAGGTTGTCGAGCAACTCCTCCGAGCAGCCTGCAAGGACGAGATCTCTAAATGGGACTTGCACCTACCCGTACTGGAGTTTGCTTACAATAACGCTACACACGTCGATACAGGACAGATGCCATTCTTCCTCTGCTATGGATGCCACCCACTCACACTACAAAAACCGACAGCCTCAGCTACAGTCCAACCTGCACACAATTTCATCACAACCATGCATCAGCTTTGGGATTGGACCCACAAGCGCCTCCTCGACATTCAACAGCAACAGAAGCGCCAGGTCGATCGCCATCGCAACGACCACACCATCACCGTGGGGGAGCAGGTGCTTCTCGACACCCGCAACCTGGACATTAGCCATCTCCCATCTAAACTTCGACCTCGCTTCTGCGGGCCTTTCCTCGTTGAAGCACAGATCACTCCTGTTACCTTCTGCTTACGCCTGCCAGGTACCTGGAAGATTCACAACGCCTTCAATGTCCAACTTCTGAAGCCCTATCGGGATCCGAACGCGATCTTCGTCGGACGCCAACCGCCGCCGCCGCCGCCCGTCCTCGTCCTGAATGAACACGAGTATGAGGTCGAGTCCGTGCTTGCACACCGCCGTGGTCGGAATGGCACCGTGGAGCTTCTTATTCGTTGGAAGGCTTATGATCCTTCTGAGGACAGCTGGGTACCTGAGACCGACATGGGTAACGCCCATCGTCCTCTTCATGACTACCTTGTCAAGCAGGGTGTTACTTCTACCACCCAGCTTTGAGGGGGGGAAGTGTGAGAGTACGACCCCGTTACACCACTGGCCTTTCCTTATTTCCTTTCTATTTCATTTCTCTTTTTATCCCATCTCATTTGGTTTCCAATTCTCCATTTTCCATTATCCTTTGGTTTATTCTGCTGTTGTAGTATCACTGACCAGGCTCGGGATATAGCGGTGCTCAATATCTAGCGTAATCCTGCCGGAATCCCTTAAAGCCAATAACCTCGCGTGGCTATACGCAGGGTGATTCTATTTTCTAGAAGGGTCTATTCCCTTGGATAGGATAAACGTGGTTACCTGATGTACTCTGGAAGTATAAAAGCACCTTGTATCAATCGATAGTGCAAGGGTTTAGGGTTAAGGGTGGGATTTAAGGTTTAGGATAGTGCAATCTAAACCCTAAACCCTAAAACCTCGACACATTCGATCCTGTGACAGTGGTGGTGGGAGTTTAGACCAGGTAGTGGTGGGAGTTTAGACCAGGTGGTGGTGGGAGTTCAGACTCGATGGTTGTGGGAGTGTAGACTGGCTCGTGGTGGGAGTACTAACGGATGGTGGTGGGAGTTTAGACCATGCGTTGGTGGGATTTTAGACCATGTGGTGGTGGGAATCTAGATCGGGTGGTGGTAGGAGTTGAGACTGAGACGTGCTGGGAGTTTAGACCATGTGGTGTTTGGTGTTTAGACCGGGTGGTGGTGGGAATTTAATCCTGTTGGTGGTGGGAGTTTAGACCACGTGGTGGTGGGAGTTTAGACCGATTGGTGGTGGGAGTTTAAACCGGATGATGGTGGGAGTTTGGATCGGGTGCTGGTAAGAGTTTCAACCCGGTGGTGGTGCAAGTTTAGAATGGGTTGTGGTGGTCGTTTAGACCGGTTGGTGGTGGGAGTATAGACCGGATGGTGGGGGGAGTTTAGACATGTTGGTGGTGGGAGTTTAGACCGGGTGATGGTGGGAGTTTAGACCGGTTGGTGGTGGGAGTTAAGACCAGATGATGGTGGGGGTTTGGATCGGGTGCTGGTGGGAGTTTAGACCGGGTTGTGGTGCGAGTTTAGACCGGTTTGGTGGAGGGAGTTTAGACCGGTTGGTGGAGGGAGTTTAGACAGGGTGGTGGTTGGATTTTAGACCGGGTGGTGAGGGAGTTTGGACCGGGTTGTGGTGGGAGTTTCGACCGGATGGTGATGGGATTTTAGAGCGGTTGGTGGTGGATGTTTAGACCGGATGATGGTGTGAGTTTGGATCGGGTGCTGGTGGGAGTTTAGACCGGGTGGTGGTGGGAGTTTAGACTGGGTGGTGGTGGGAGTTTAGACCGGTTGGTGGAGGGAGTTTAGACCGAGTGGTGGTTGGATTTTAGACCGGGTGGTGAGGAAGTTTGGACCGGGTTGTGGTGGGAGTTTGGACCTGGTGGTGGTGGAAGTTTAGACCGGATGATGGTGGGAGTTTGGATCCGGTACTGGTGGGAGTTTAGACCGGGTGGTGGTGGGAGTTTAAACCGGGTGGTGGTGGTCGTTTAGACCGGTTGGTGGTGAGAGTTTAGACCGGGTGGTGGTGGGAGTTTAGACCGGGTGGTGGTTGGATTTTAGACTGGGTGGTGAGGGAGTTTTGACTGGGTGGTGGTGGGAGTTTAGACCGGGTGGTGGTGGGAGCTTAGACCGGTTGGTGGTGGGATTTTAGACCGGATATGGTGGGAGTTTGGATTGGGTGCTGGTGGGAGTTTAGACCGGGTGGTGGTGGGAGTTTACACCGGGTGGTGGTGGGAGCTTAGACCGGTTGGTGGTGGATTTTAGACCGGATATGGTGGGAGTTTAGATTGGGTGCTGGTGGGAGTTTAGACCGGGTGGCGGTGGGAGTTTAGACCCGGTGGTGGTGGGAGTTTTGACCGGGTGGTGGTGGGAGTTTAGACCGGATGGTTGTGGGTGTCTTGACCGGGTGGTGGTGGGAGTGTAGACTCGGTGGTGGTTTGAATATAGACCAGATAGTGGTGGGAGTTTAGACCCGGTGGTGGTGAGATTTTAGACCCGGTGGTGGTTGGAGTTTAGACCAGGTGGTGGTGGGAACTTAGACCGGGTTGTGGTGGGAGTTTAGACCAGGTGATGGTGGGAGTTTAAACCACATGGTGGTGGGAGTTTAGATCGGGTGGTGGTGGGATTTTAAACTGGGTGGTGGTGGGTGTTTAGACCGGATGGTGGTGGGAGTTTAGACCAAGTGGTGGTGGAAGTTTACACTGGGTGGTGGTGGAAGTTTAGACCGGTTGGTGGACTGAGTTTAGACCAGGTGGTGGTTGGAGTTAAGACTAGGTGGTGAGGGTGTTTAGACCGGGTGGTGGTGGGAGTTTAGACCGGGTGGCGGAGGGATTTTAGACCGGGTGGTGGAAGGAGTTGAGACTGAGTCATGCTGGGAGTTTAGACAGGGTGGTGGTGGGAGTTTTTTCCCATTGGTTGTGGGAGTTTATACCAGGTTGTGAGGGAGTTTAAACCGGGTGTTGGTGCGAGTTTAGACCGGGTGGTGGTGGTAGTTTAGACCGGTGATGGTGGGAGTTTAAACTGGGTGGTAGTGGGAGTCACAACCAGGTGGTGGTGGGAGTTTAGACCGGGTGGTGGTGGGAGTTTAGACCGGGTGGTGGTGGGAGTTTAGACGGGGTGATGGTGGGAGTTTAGACCGGGTGGTGGTGGGAGTTTAGACCGGTGATGGGAGGAGTTTAGACCGGGTGGTGGTGGGAGTTTAGAATGGGTGATGGTGGGAAATTAGACCGGGTGGTGGTGGGTGTTTAGACCGGGTGGTGGTGGGTGTTTAGACCGGGTGGTGGTGGGAGTTTAGACCGGGTGGTGGTTGGATTTTAGACCGAGTGGTTGTGGGAAGTTAGACCGGGTTGTGGTGGGAGTTTAGACCGGGTGGTGGTGGGAGTTTGGACCGGGTGGTGGTGGGAGTTTGGACCGGGTGGTGGTGGGAGTTTAGACTGGATGGTGGTAGGAGTGTAGACCGGATGGTGCTGGGAGTGTAGACCGGGTGGTGGTGGGAGTTTAGACAAGGTGGTGGTGGGAGTTTAGACTGGGTGGTAGTGGGAGTATAGACAGGTGGTGGTGGGATTTTAGACCGGGTGATGGTGGGACATTAGACCGGGTGGTGGTGGGAATTAAGACCGGGTGGTGGTAGGAGATGAGACCGAGTCGTGCTGGGTGTTTAGACCGGATGTTGGTGGGAGTTTGGACCAGGTGGTGGTGGAAGTTTACACCGGGTGGTGGTGGGAGTTTAGACCGGTTGGTGGTGGGAGCTTAGACCGGTTCGTGGTGGGATTTTAGACCGGATATGGTGGGAGTTTGGATTGGGTGCTGGTGGGAGTCTAGACTGGGTGGTGGTGGGAGTTTAGACCGGGTAATGGTTTGATTTTGGACTGGTTTGTGGAGAGACTTTAGACCGGGTGGTGGTGGGAGTTTAGACCCGGTGGTGGTTGGAGTTTTGACCGGGTGGTGGTGGGAGTTTAGACCGGATGGTTGTGGGAGTCTTGACCAGGTGGTGGTGGGAGTGTAGACCCGGTGGTGGTTTGAATATAGACCAGGGAGTGGTGGGAGTTTAGAACCGGTAGTGGTGAGAGTTTAGACCCGGTGGTGGTTGGAGTTTAGACCGGGTGGTGGTGGGAACTTAGACCGGATTGTGGTGGGAGTTTAGACCAGGTGGTGGTGGGAGTTTAGACCATATGGTGGTGGGAGTTTAGATCGGGTGGTGGTGGGTGTTGAGACCGGATGGTGGTGGGAGTTTAGACCGGGTGGAAGTGGGAGTTTCGACCGGGTGGTGGTGGAAGTTTACACCGGGTGGTGGTGGGAGTTTAGACCGGTTGGTGGAGTGAGTTTAGACCGGGTGGTGGTTGGAGTTAAGACCAGGTGGTGATGGTGTTTAGACCAGGTGGTGGTGGGAGTTTAGACTGGGTGGTGGAGGGATTTTAGTCCGGGTGGTGGAAGGAGTTGAGACTGAGTCATGCTGGGAGTTTAGACAGGGTGGTGGTGGGAGTTCTTTCCCATTGGTTGTGGGAGTTTAGACCGGGTTGTGAAGGAGTTTAAACCAGGTGTTGGTGCGAGTTTAGACAGGGTGGTGGTGGGAGTTTTTTCCCGTTGGTGGTGGGAGTTTAGACCAGGTGGTGTAGGGAGTTTAGACTGGGTGGTGGTGGGAACTTAGACCGGCTTGTGGTGGGAGTTTAGGCCCGGTGATGGTGGGAGTTTAAACTGGGTGGTAGTGGGAGGTTAGACCGGATCGTGGTGGGAGTTACAACCGGGTGGTGGTGGTAGTTTAGACCGGGTTGTGGTGGGAGTATAGACCGGGTGGTGGTGGGAGTTTAGACTGGGTGGTGGTGGGAGTTTAGACCGGGTGGTGGTGGGAGTTTAGAATTGGTGATGGTGGGAAATTAGAGCGGGTGGTGGTGGGAGTTTAGACCGGGTGGTGGTGGGAGTTTAGACCGGGTGGTGTTGGGAGTTTGGACCCGGTGGTGGTGGAAGTTTAGACCGGATGGTGGTTGGAGTGTAGACCGAATGGTGGGGGGAGTGTAGACCGGGTGGTGGTGGGAGTTTAGACCAGGTGGTGGTGGGAGTTTAGACTGGGTGGTGGTGGGACATTAGACCGTGTGGTGGTGGGAATTAAGACCGGGTGGTGGAAGGAGATGAGACCGAGTCGTGCTGGGAGTTTAGACCGGGTGGTGGTGGAAGTTTACCTTGGGTGGTGGTGGGAGTTTGGACCGGGTGGTGATGGGAGGTTAGACCGGTTGTTGGTGGGATCTTAGACCGGATATGGTGGGAGTTTGGATTGGGTGTTGGTGGGAGTTTAGACCAGGTGGTGGTGGGAGTTTGGACGGGGTGGTGGTTTGATGTTGGACCGGTTGGTGGTGAGACTTTAGACCGGGTGGTGGTGGGAGTTTAGACTCGGTGGTGGTGAGAGTTTAGACCCGGTGGTGGTTGGAGTTCAGACCGGGTGGTGGTGGGAGTTTGAACTGGGTGGTGGTGGGATTTTAGACCGTGTGGATATGCGACAATGCTTGGGATACCAAAACTTCCCACACACCTGGGATTTGAATCCGAGCACAAGCCAGCATGCTCTTGAGCCCATTCACTAACCATGCATGCAAAAAGTCAGATGTTTGAACACGCTCAATAGCAAGATAACCAAGTTGGGGTCTCGTAGGAAATTGCTCAAGTACTGGAAAAAGGAACACATACGATACCATAGTTTTTTGCACTCTTAGGTTTTGGATCTGAGCACAAGCCAGGATTATCTTGAGCCCATGCACTAACTGATCATGCAAAACAAGGGCTTAGAAATTGCTCAGTATCTAAAAAACAAAATGGAAAGTAGTCGTTTTGTTGGGAAACGCTCAAGTATTTGGACATGGGACAATAGTTGACATACTCTAAATTCCCAACCACTAGGATTTATGAATTGGGCACAAGCCATGATGGTCTTGAGGCCATACACTAGCTATGTATGCAAAGGGAATGAGTGTTAATGAACAAAGAACCTAAGATAAAAAACAGGTTGTTGCTTGGTGGGGTACCACTCAAGATCTTGGACATGCGACAACGCTTGAGATACCAAAACTTCCCACACACCTGGGTTTTGAATCCGAGCACAAGCCGGCATGCTCTTGAGCACATTCACTAACCATGCATGCAAAAAGTCAGATATTTGAGCACGCTCAATAGCAAGATAACCAAGTTGGGGTCTCGTAGGAAAGTGCTCAAGTACTGGAAAATGGAACACATACGATACCATAGTTTTTTGCACTCTTAGGTTTTGGATCTGAGCACAAGCCAGGATTATCTTGAGCCCATGCACTAACGGATCATGCAAAACAAGGGCTTAGAAATTGCTCAGTATCTCAAAAACAAAATGGAAAGTTGAGGTTTTGTAGGGAAACGCTCAAGTGTTTAAACATGGGACAATAGTTGCCATACTCTTACTTTCCAACCACAAGGATTTTGGATCTGCGCACAAGCCATCATGCGCTTGAGGCCATACACTAGCTATGTATGCAAAAGGAATGAGTTTTCATGAACAAAGCACCTAAGTGAAAAAAACAGGTTGTTGTTTTGTGGGGTACCACTCAAGAACTCGGATATGCGACAACGCTTGGGATACCAAAACTTCCCACACACCTGGGATTTGAATCCGAGCACAAGCCAGCATGCTCTTGAGCCCATTCACTAACCATGCATGCAAAAAGTCAGATGTTTGAGCACGCTCAATAGCAAGATAACCAAGTTGGGGTCTCATAGGAACATGCTCAAGTACTGGAAAATGGAGCACATACGATGCCATATTATTTTGCACTCTTAGGTTTTGGATCTGAGCACAAGCCAGGATTATCTTGAGCCCATGCACTAACGGATCATGCAAAACAAGGGCTTAGAAATTGCTCCGTATATGAAAAACAAAATGGAAAGTTGAGGTTTTGTTGGGAAAAGCTCAAGTGTTTAGACATGGGACAATAGTTGCCATGCTCTTACTTTCCAACCACAAGGATTTTGGATCTGGGCACAAGCCATTATGCGCTTGAGGCCATACACTAGCTATGTATGCAAAAGAAATGAGTTTTCATGATCAAAGCACCTAAGTGAAAAAAACAGGTTGTTGTTTGGTGGGGTACCACTCAAGAACTCGGATATGCGACAACGCTTGGGATACCAAAACTTCCCACACACCTGGGATTTGAATCCGAGCACAAGCCAGCATGCTCTTGAGCCCATTCACTAACCATGCATGCAAAAAGTCAGATGTTTGAGCACGCTCAATACCAAGATAACCAAGTTTGGGTTGTTAGGATTAAGGACGGAGTCTAGGTGAACTTAGGAGCTAGAATTACTCAAAATATAAATCCGAAATTCTGGACAGAATAAACGTCTTCACAAGAAACGACGTCGACAAAACACTAGCTGTTGGAATGTCGCGCAACTCGGATATAATGTAGCTCTTAATCTCAGCTACCGTTCCCAATTTGAATCACGTTGATTGATGAAGTATTCGCGACGCTATGGCTTTCGACGCATTGGGGGGTAAGCTGTAGGAGGAGAACTTAACTCAATCTCAAAAGTTCAATCAAAGTTCAAGAATCTCACAAGGAATTACAGGAGCAAGAGAGAGGTTGGGATAGAAGAGAGGGATGAGAGCGAATGTCCTAAGAGTGTCCCCAACCAAGGAAACCCCATAAGCACAAAGATTCCCCCCTTATAGGAACCATAACTTTGACATTTGTCCCTTCCCAACCAATCCATCCAAATTGGCCACCCTTGCCAACCTAGCTTGGTTGTTCCCAACCAATTTGCAGCTGTTACAGTAGAGTGACGAATTTCCTCAACCCCAAAGGTCCCAATTCCATATAGAGTCACCCCACAACTTCACTTTGTAACCGCCGCAATTGTAACGCAAGCTCATGAAGTTTGAATCTTCATAGCTTTCGCGTTCTTGCTCCGATTGAAGCGATTCTTGTTGCGTCGGAAAGATCTTCTGAAGATCTATCATGACAAATACCTGCTCAAACAAAAATAACAAAAAATACATTCCCAAACTCCAGAACACACCACACACAAATTCTTGCACACGGTCAAACCACACATGCAAGTTGAAAACATGGGATGGGAGGCAGACAGAATGTGATAGCATATGATGACATCACACAACAGGGGTCTCATAGGAAAATGCTCAAGTACTAGAAAAAGGAACACATATGATACCATAAATTTTTGCACAAAGAACCTATGAGAAAAAGGAATGAGTTTTTATGAACAAAGAACCTAAGAGAAAAAACAGGTTGTTGTTTGGTGGGGTACCATTCAAGAACTTGGACATGCGACAACGCTTGAGATACCAAAACTTCCCACACACCTGGGATTTGAATCCGAGCAGAAGCCAGCATGCTCTTGAGCCCCTTCACTAACCATGCATGCAAAAGGTAAGATGTTTGAGCATGCTTAATAGCAAGATAACCAAGTTGGGGTCTCGTAGGAAATTGCTCAAATACAGGAAAAGGACACATACGATACCATAATTTTTTGCACTCTTAGGGTTTGGATCTTAGCACAAGCCAGGATTCTCTTGAGCCCAGGAACTAATTGATCAAGCAAAACAAGGGCTTAGAAATTGCTCCGTATATGAAAAAAAAAATGGAAAGTTGAGGTTTTGTTGGGAAACGCTCAAGTGTTTAGACATGGGACAATAGTTGACATACTCTAAAATCCCAACCACTAAGATTTTGGAACTGGGAACAAGCCATGATGGCATTGAGGCCATACACTAGCTGCTTGGCGGGTGCTGCCCGGCGCTCCCGCTCCTTGGCGGGTGCTGCCCGGCGCTCCCGCTCCTTGGCGGGTGCTGCCTGGCACTCCTGCTCTTGGGCGGGTGCTGCCCGGCGCTCCCGCTGCTTGGCGGTTGCTGCCCGGCGCTCCCGCTGCTTGGCGGTTACTGCCCAGCGCTCCTGCTGCTTGGCGGGTGCTGCCTGCGGGTGCTGCTCGGCACTCCCCCTCCTTGGCGGGCGTTGCCCCGCGCTCCTGCTGCTTGGCGGGCGCTGTCCGGCACTCCTGCTGCTTGGCAGGTGCTGACCGGCCCTCCCGCTCCTTGGCGGGTGCTGCCCGGCGCTCCCGCTGCTTGGCGGGTGCTGCCCGGCGCTCCCGCTCCTTGGCGGGTGCTGCCCGGTGGTCCCGCTTCTTGGCGGGTGCTGGCCGGCGCTCCCGCTGCTGGGCGGGTGCTGCCCGGCGCTCCCGCTCCAGGGCGGGTGCTGCCCTGCGTTCCTGCTCCTCGGTGGGTGCTGCCCCATGCTCCCGATCCTTTGCGGGTGCTGCCCGGCTCTCCCGCTGCTTGGCGGATGCTGCCCGGCGCTCCCGCTCCTTGGCGGGTGCTGCCCGGCGCTCCCGCTCCTTGGCGGGTGCTGCACGCCGCTACCGATCCTTCGCGGGTGCTGCCCGGCGCTCCCGCTCCTTGGCGGGTGGTGCTCAGCGCTCCTGCTCATGGGCGGGTGGTGCCCGGCGCTCCCACTGCTTGTCGGTTGCTGCCCGGCGCTCCCGCTGCTTGGCGGGTGCTGCCCGGCACTC